TTTGAACGGGAGTCTCCGCCTGCCGCCCAGGCTGGACGCTGCAGTGGTGCGGGATCTCAGCTCACTGAAGCTTCCGCCTCCCGGATCCACGCCATTCTCTCGCCGCCAGGACTCCCAGTAGCTTGGGAGATACAGGGCTGCGGTACCTCGGCCCGGCTAGTTTTTTGTATTTTTTTTAGTAGAGACGGGGTTTCACTGTGTTAGCCAGGATGGTCTCGATCTCCCGACCTCGTGATCCGCCCGTCTCGGCCTCCCAAAGTGCTGGGATTACAGGCTTGAGAATTTTTATTTTTATTTTAAGTTCCTGGGTACATGTGCAGCATGTACAGGTTTGTTACATAGGTGAACGTGTGCTTTGGCTGATACTTTAAAAGTCGTAGCAAATCACAACACTTTAGAAACTCTTCTACCTTAAACATTTTAAAATCAACTTTACCTATTGGTTTAGTTTCCCTTTAAGAGTGTCACTTATCGGCCGGGCGCGGTGGCTCAAGCCTGTAATCCCAGCACTTTGGGAGGCTAAGACGGGCGGATCACGAGGTCAGGAGATCCAGACCATCCTGGATAACCCGGTGAAACCCCGTCTCTACTAAAAAATACAAAAAACTAGCCGGGCGAGGTGGCGGACGCCTGTAGTCCCAGCTACTCAGGAGGCTAAGGCAGGAGAATGGCGTGAACCCGGGAGGCGGAGCTTGCAGTGAGCTGAGATCCGGCCACTGCTCTCCAGAGCGAGACTCTGTCTCAAAAAAAAAAAAAAAAAAAAGAGTGTCACTTATCAGCCTGGGCAACATGGCAAAACACCATCTACAAAAAAATACACATGCACACACCTGTGGTCCCAGCTATTCGGGAGGCTGAGGTGGAAGGATCGCTTGAGTCCAAGAGGTTGAGGCTGCAGTAAGCCATGATTGTACCACTGCACTCCAGCCTGGGTGAGACAGCAAGACCCTGTCTCAAAAATAAAGAAAGAAAAGAGTGAGTCATTTATTTAGTCCTTACAGAACTCACCATTAAGTTAGAGTAAGTATATGAAAGTGTTTGACTTCAGAACGGTAGTATCTTTTGATTTTAGTGACTATGTCAGTTGTTCAAATGATGGATTATATATGAAGATACTTTAAATATGTGAAGTACTACATAAATTAATGTTTGTGAGCATTTTATTACTTCCGTTTTCTTGTTTTTATGTCATTTTCATTTTCTCAGTACTTAGACATAATATTTAACATTGAATAGTTTTCATTATTCATATCTTTATATCCATTGTATTTAAATTTTCTTTTAGCATAATAAATGCAATAATAGGACCACATCTGGAATCTCAATTTTATTTTGATAATTATTAAGCTATAACACATTATTAGAGATACTTTTATGAAAAATTAATGAATAAAGTAGTTTTGCCTTGTTATGACATTTCTGTCTTTAGAAATAAAATAGAATTACATCATTGTTAAGGTTAACTTTTTCTGGATTTTAATGACTAGCAAAGAAATCTGACCATGTTTCCTCCTTCATGTGGCTCTCCTGTCCCTTGGCTTCTCTTCTTGCCTGATTACAGCTGTTTTTGTAATGCTTTCTCTCTTCCTCTCCACATCCCCAATCACTCCCACCACAAGATATTATAATGGAATGGTCTTAGAGACATTTTAAAAATGAGCTTTCGTTAGAAATTCACAATTCAGTTGTCTTTCAAGGTTCGTCTTCTTTATCCATGATACCTTGTCTCATTTATCTTTGCCAAACAGTGTTTCTGACTTGTATAATCTAAGAGTACTCAATTATATGATTGATCAATCAAGTTATTACAAGTTCTTAAGCATAGTTTTGTGGGGTTTTTTTCTAAAATCAAGAAATTTTAGAATTATTGGTGGGTAGAATTTCAGAGGAACAATGGAATCGTTTGCAAAGTTATTCTTAGATGATAATGAGGCTTTGAAGTATTTCATTTCACCAGTTTAAAAGTTAGATTGGTGGGCCGGTCACAGTGGCTCATGCCTGTAATCCCAGCACTTTGGGAGGCTGAGGCAGGCGGATCACGAGGTCAAGAGATCGAGACCATCCTGGCCAACATGGTGCAACCCTGTCTCTACTAAAAATACAAAAAATTAGCTGGGCGTGATGGCACGTGCCTGTAGTCCCAGCTAGTCATGAAGCTGAGGCAGGAGGATCACTTGAACCCAGGAGGCAGAGGTTACAGTGAGCCGAGATCACACCACTGCACTTTAACCTGGCGACAGAGTGAGGCTCCATTTCAAAAAAAAAAAAAAAAAAAGTTAGATTGGTGAGGCAGAATGTGGTATTACTCCCTCTACTATTAAAAATTCCATATAACATTACGTGAATTAATCTTAATCCAACGTTTGACAAGGATGTTTTCAAAACAATGAAGTTAATGCTGTGAATTTGGCATTACTGTATCTGATATTAATAATTCCACCTCTTAAAATTGTCTAATTTCCATCTGGTTGCTGTTTCTCATTTTCCTTATGTTAAAATTTTAACTTCTAACCACCTATTATTTTGTTTCTCTTATTTTATACTCAGAATTACCTCCTTTTAGATTAAAAAAAAAAAACTTTAATACTTTTGAAATGTAAAAATGGACATACTGCCAAAAATTGGTAAGGGAACCCTAAATGAATCACAAACTTTTTGTTTTGTTAGAGATATAAAAACTTCTAAGATCTTAAAAGTAAGATCTGAGTTTAAAATTAGGGAATAAAAGAATTTGTGTTAAGAAGGACAGGGTCACCAGTTAGGAGGAGATTATTGTAGGAATCCCAGTGTTGGAACTTGGGACTAGTGATGATAGAAGAGATGAAGAGAAAAAGGACAGATTCAGGATATATTTGGACGTGAAAGTTGTGAAGACTTGGTAATGAGTAGAATGTGGAGGGAAGGAAAGAGGCTGTGAAGAAGAAACTGGTTATACACTATTACTATTTCCTGATGGTGACAATGATTGGAGGAGGAACTGTTTTATTTCCTTTGGGGAAGTATGAAGTCAGGAGTTCTATTTAGGGTATTTTGAGTTTGAGGTACCTAAGTGAATATGCCCAGTAGGCAACTGAATAATTGCCTATGGAGGTGAGGGAGGGTGGAGGTACAGTCATTAGCGTACATTAACGACGTTTAAAATCATGAACCTTGTTGAGGATCATTAGGTTGAAGGTAGAGTGGAAAAGAGCATTCATGAGTAGTGCTGTGGCTTCCAGCGATCAGGGTTGGTGTGGAGGAGGAGTCTGAGGAGCAGAGTCCAGTGAGGCAGTTGTATACAATATGTAGACATTGTTTTCATAGAAGTTGTATATGCTTAAAATATATTGCTTTCTGTGGGTTGTTTTTTAAACTAAATATTTGGTGTATCCTTTGTAAGATTCGAAAGCCCCTTCTGAATGTCATTGAGTAAGACAATTCTATACAACACTGGATGTTTGCTGTAAAGAATGGCCTTACCATTGAACCATTAAGGTTGGGATATGGTGCCTATTTTAACCCTCCCCACTCTGCCTCTTTAGGACTTAGATTTTTAAATGTCACCTAAGTTCTTGCTGGGGGTGAAGGACTTTGCCAGAAAATTAGCATTAACATGATGTCCTTTGACCCTCCTCTCACAATTTTTTGTCATTCTCTTGAAGTAAGTTAGTTCATTATTAAAGAAGTCATTTTATTTTATTTTTTATTTGAGTCAGAGTCTCACTCTGTTGCCCAAGCTGGAGTGCAGTGGTGCAGTCTCAGCTCACTGCAGCCTCTTTCTCCTGGGTTCAAGCTATACTCCTGCCCCAGCCTCCTGAGTAACTGGGACTACAGGTGCACACCACCATGCCCGGTAATGGTTTGTTGTTGTTGTTGTTTATTTGTTTTAGTAGAGATGGGGTTTCACCACGTTTGCCAGACTGGTCTGGACTCCTGGCCTTAAGTGATCCACCCACCTTGGCCTCCTAAATTACTGGGACTACAGGGGTGAGCCACTCTGCCCAGCCTAAAGTAATTTTATTTTTAAAAGCTGTCATCAACATGAAAAATTTGGGATTCATGAGGAGTGTTTTTGAATGTGGAATATCACTGATATCAGTGACAATATGGGGCAGCAGATGAAAGCCTGGTTTATAAATTTTACAAGGACAGAATTCTTTTTTTTTTTTTGAGACCGAGTCTCGCTCTGTCGCCCAGGCTGGAGAGCAGTGGCCGGATCTCAGCTCACTGCAAGCTCCGCCTCCCGGGTTCACGCCATTCTCCTGCCTTAGCCTCCTGAGTAGCTGGGACTACAGGCGCCTGCCACCTCGCCCGGCTAATTTTTTGTATTTTTTGTAGAGACGGGGTTTCACCGGGTTATCCAGGATGGTCTCGATCTCCTGACCTCGTGATCCGCCCGTCTTAGCCTCCCAAAGTGCTGGGATTACAGGCTTGAGCCACCGCGCCCGGCCAGCAAGGACAGAATTCTTTAAGACAATGAATTGGGGACTGACTTAGACAGACATAGCTTCATACCTTTACTCCCTTAGAGACAAGCACAAGAGTCCTGCCATACCACATATTTTTTGACATGGCTGCTTTTTGTTTTTCTTCAAAATCTAAACTACGATAAAATGAAAGACAACAGTTATTAGGTGCCTTCTATATCTTATGCAGAGTGCTAAGTACTTTACATTGTGGACTCATTGTGACCCAACACGAATTCTAAGAGGGAAATAAATATATTGAACCCACTTTGTAGAGGTCACGAAATTGAAGCTTTGATTATTGGTATTTTAGAGAGAAAAATTAAGAAAAGATAATCAAAAAATATATATAAACTACGATTCCACCTTCAGGTTTTTTTGGAGATTAAAATTTCTCTAGGCATGCTTGAAAGGTGATGGACATGAAGTCATGTTTTGGAGACATCATCTGTTTTTACCTGTCCATTTAAAAATGTATTTGATCTCTAAGTGTTGAGTGTTCCTATGCTGTGCTGATAATGATCTTAATGTTTCCCTTCTCTCTTTTGGTTTCAGAGGAAGAACTTGTCGCTTGTCCTCAGCATTAGTTTGTTAACTTTCTGGGGGTCCTCCCTTTTGGGTGCCCGGTTATACTGGATGGGAAACAAACCACCAAGCTTTTCCAACTCGGACAATCCCGCTGCTGATTCAGACAGCCTCCTCACCCGCACGCTCACCTTCTTCTACTTGCCAACCAAGAACCTCTGGCTGTTGCTATGCCCAGATACCCTCAGTTTTGATTGGTCGATGGATGCTGTGCCTCTGCTCAAAACAGTTTGTGACTGGAGAAACCTACACACTGTGGCCTTCTATACTGGACTCCTCCTCCTTGCCTACTATGGTTTGAAGAGCCCGAGCGTAGACAGAGAATGCAATGGGAAAACTGTAACAAATGGCAAGCAGAATGCAAACGGACATAGCTGCCTTTCAGATGTGGAGTACCAGAACTCAGAGACTAAGTCCAGCTTTGCATCCAAAGTAGAAAATGGCATTAACAACGATGTATCACAGAGAACCCAGCTTCCTTCTACGGAGAACATTGTTGTTCTGTCTTTATCTTTGTTAATCATACCCTTTGTTCCTGCCACAAACCTGTTTTTCTATGTCGGCTTTGTAATTGCAGAGCGAGTATTATATATTCCTAGTATGGGCTTCTGCCTGCTGATTACAGTGGGTGCTAGAGCCCTTTATGTCAAAGTCCAAAAGCGGTTCCTCAAGAGCTTGATTTTTTATGCTACAGCTACACTAATTGTTTTTTATGGACTCAAGACTGCGATCAGGAATGGAGACTGGCAGAATGAGGAAATGCTGTATAGATCAGGGATAAAAGTAAACCCAGCTAAAGGTAATCTTTTCTTTTATGCTTTTGTCTGGATAGTTTACACTTTTAGCCTCTTTATGTCTTTGCTTCTTAAGACACAGTATTAAGGAGGAAGAGGTCCTTTTATGCAGTACCTGTATCTTTCATTCTTTTTATTTTTTTAAGGAGATACGCCATATAACCAATTTAGAGACATACCCAGTATTCCTTTCTTGGAATAAGAAAATATTTTCCTGTGTTTCTGACTATGTTTGTCCAGAAGAATTAGAGCTCCTATTGTGTAAACAATATTGACTATTCCAAGAATTTAGAAAAGAGCTTGGTTTTCACATTTTAAAATACTGATGGGGACGGCTCTTTTATCATATAATAAAAGTCAGGCTATCCCACATAAGTATACTTGAGCTTTTCTATTTTCCAAGCATCGCCTGAAGAAATACAAGACTTTCATTGAAACCTTTAAAAGATTTGGAGATTTCACTACCTCTGAATCCTGAAAGTATGTCTCTAGATGTCAGTGTGTACACATTCAGGTGTGAGTCACCTTGGGCTGCACAGAGGCTAAATTATCTGAATGTTGCCAAGCAGTTAGCAGGTTTTCACTTGGGTTCTTAAGTCACTTAGAGAAACAAACTTTTCACTATATAATGAAAGTTTTGATTATACCACTCATGATTGCTTTTGATTTAGAAAATTACTTGAGCAAATCTCAGAACTGATAGAATAGAAAGTAGTTTCCTTTAAAATAAAAAAGTCAAAAGCTATGACAATGGATGACTCTAGTTTAGGCAATTAAATGTATTGGAAGCTAGAGGACAATTAAATTAAAATAGATGTAAATTTTTAGTGCAGAAATATATCATAGTAAATAGTGTTAAAGAGTCTTGTTCTTCATAAGCCATTTTTATTCTTTTTTGAGATGGGGTCTTGCTTTGTTGCCCAGGCTGGGGTGCGATGGCTTGATCTCAACTCACTGCAACCTCCACTTCCTGGGTTCAAGTAATTCTCCTGCCCCAGACTCCAGAGGCACGGATATTACAGGCGCCTGCCACCATACCTGGCTAATTTTTATATTTTTAGTAGAGATGGGGTTTCCCCACGTTAGCCAGGCTGGTCTCAACTCCTGACCTTAGATGATCTGCCTGTCTCAGCCTCCTAAAGTGCTGGGATTACAGGTGCAAGCCACCACGCCTGGCCTATTTTTATTCTTTTTTTGGTTTGTTTTTTGTTTTTTTTAGACTGAATTTCGCTCTTGTTGCCCAGGCTGGGGTGCAGTGGCACGATCTTGTCTCACCACAACCTCCACCTCCCGGGTTGAAGCGATGCTCCTGCCTCAGCCTTCCTGAGTAGCTGGGATTACAGGCATGTGCCACCATGCCCGGCAAATTTTGTATTTTTAGTAGAGACGGGGTTTCTTCATGTTGGTCAGACTGGTCTCGAACTCCCGAACTCAGATGATCCGCCCGCCTCGGCCTCCCAAAGTGCTGGGATTATAGGCGTGGGCCACCGCACCTAGCCTATTTTTATTCTTTAAATTATGTTCGCTTATATAGCATTTGAATTGGCATTTTTCTACTCTTTCCAACACAATTCTATACCATGATTAAAAGAAGGTATAAAACTGTTCCAGAATATGAAAATGGCCTGCTAATAGGTATATATCTAAAGACCTAGATACTCCAAAAGCTACTTTGGCATGCTTGTCTGATGGGCACAAATTAAGTCAAGAATTCAGTGAGCAACTACACATTTCTTTAAGGAACTAATTTGCTGGTACTTACACTGTTTAATAAATTGCAGGGATTTTAATGGGAAGTTGAAGCATTAAAGTTGAGCTACTACGTAGCATGTCATTTCTCAATTCTCTGTGAAAAATCATTACCATGTGGCTTTTTCTAGGTGTCGAGTACATCACAGTTTATTGAATGCCCGGACCTAAATCTTGTTGGAAAAATTGTTACAATTAGTTTTTGCAGAATACTTATCTGCTAGTTTTTCTGCACTGGTAGATGTAAGGATATAGAACAAGCCTATGTTGCCAATATATTTTCCTGCTGTTTAAAACATATATAATAGAGAATTGAAAACAAATTCTTGGCCTATTATTTGCATCACAGTGATGTTCTGAGGGTTTATTAAATTTATTAAGTTTCAGACTAAGCTGCTGTTACAAAAAGCCAAGACAAAAGTGGCTTAAGTAAGATAGAAGCTTTATTCTTTCATGTAGCAATCTAAGTATGTGCAAACACAGAGCTGATAAGATGGCGCCATGGGTTTTCAGGATCCAAGCTCTTTCTCTTTTATTCCCTTGCCATCTCAGTGGTGTCACCCTGTCCTCATGGTCCAAGATGGCTCATTATCACATCAGCCCTTCAGCTGACAGCAAGAGAGGGAGAAAGGGGAAATGGCGGGTGTGCCCAATCTGAGAGCATTTTGCAGAAATTGCACACACCATGCTTGCTTACAGACCATTGGGCACACCTACCTCCAAGGAAGGCTGGGAAATGTTATCTTTATTCTGGGAAGCCAAGTACCCAGCCAGATTTTATTACACTGCAAAAAGGAGCGGGCAAATATTCAGATGCTAGGGTATAAGTAGCAGTCAGAATAAGTGAAAACGTTTTGTAACGCTTAGGTATTTTCCAGCATTAGCTGGTAGTTTCGCTGACGGTTAAGATTCTAAATAAGATATTTTGGTACATAGTTAGAATGTTTGATCATTTATTTTTCCATTCACTAAGTAAAACAATTATTAAACATTTCCTTGGTTTCCAATATTTTCAGGTGTCCATCCTAATACTTAAGAAGTGCTGCAGAATTTAGGCACTCCAAAATATTATTAGCTAAATAAATGTACAACTGCTCACTATCGTAAGAAGTTCTTTCAGACATCAAACACTGAATTCCTGAAAACCCCCACCCCACTCGTGGCCCAGTCAACTGCTTTACTTGCAGGCTTTACCGTCTCAGTTGATGGAATCTCAATTTCCCCAGCAGCTCTGGCTGAGAATTCTGAAGTCATCCCTGCCTCCTCTTTTCCCTTCGCAGCTCACATCCATTCCATCAGCAGATCCTCTCTGCTGTTTGTAAAAATACATCCAGAGCTTGACCACTTTTTACCACCATCACTGTCGGCATCATGGCCCGGGGCCACCATCTTTTATCTCTCTATATGTGAGCCTTTTAATCTATATACCTAGAAACAAATATAAATTATATTAGCCGGATTATATCTATATTGTTTTTTTCTTGTTGAGAGACGGAGTCTCGCGCTCTGTTGCCCAGGCTGGAGTGCAGGGGTGCAATCTTGGCTCACCCACAACCTCTGCCTCCCGGGTTCAAGCATTCACCGGCCTCAGCCTCCGAAGTAGCTAGGACTACAGGCACGTGCCACTGTGCCCAGATAATTTTTGTGATTTTAGTAGAGACGGGTTTCACTATATTGACCAGGCTGGTCTCAACTCCTGACCTCATGATCCACCCGCCTCGGCCCTCCCAAAGTGCTGGGATTCATGGCCTTATCTGTAATGTTAGTAAAAGACTCTCACCTCACCTCCCAGTTTGTATTTCTTGCCCTTTAGCATGTCTTGTACTTTTTTCTTTCAACTCAGATATGATGTATTGGGTAATAAGAAATGAGGTGAATAGGCTTTCTTGTGAGATTTTCTGTAAATCTCGTTAGGAGTTGGACTGTATTTTGCTATAGCCGTGGGTGCCAGAGATGTCACATTCCTCTGGTGGCCTTGTTTTTGGTCTTCCCAGCTGTCTGTGGGCTTTCCCACGGACTCTGTTTTGCATCTATTTCAGCTGCAATCAGCTATTATTATACTGCAGCTCTGTTGGTGTTGGGGAGGGAAAATGTTCTACTATTTTATGACTAAATCTTCGCCTCTCTGGGCTACCACCTTCACAGGTGTTTCTTATATTTCCTTGCTTCCCACTCCAGTAGAGACAGGAAGGCTAGAGGGGCCTGAGTTGAGAGGAATGACTTTTCCCCCACAGCTCTGGGACAAGGCTAAGATCTTTCCCTTATGGAGTTCGTGGTCTTTTGTCATGACAAATGCTCTGGGTATATTTCATAAGGTTTATTCTTCTCCCACTGCCGGAGCCAGGAGAACATCTTTCTTGGCTCTTCCCGATGAGACTCTGTTGGGGTCCTGGGAGGGAAAACCCCCAAAATTATGGGAGTCCCCTAAGACTGCCACGTCAGGAGTTTCTGATTCTAAAACTAGTTCACGCTTAGCCTCCAGCAACTTGTCAAATGAGGAGTCAATTGTTTCTAACTGTTTCTGTCTCCAGCAGCTTCTGCTCCAGGTAAGCTCTCCTCTGCTGTCTCTCTGGATTTGTCTTTCTCTAGCTTTCAGGGTGGTGGTTGGCCCTGCGACCCCAGTTCACTGATGGTTCCAAGACAAGTTATTGATTTTCAGTCTGTTTAGCTTTTTCTTTTTCTAATGATGTGAGTGACAACTTCACATTGTTTAATGTCTGAGCTGAACTCCTGCTTCTATTCACCTTCAAAGTCCATGCTTAACCAGCAGCCCTGGTGACCTTTTGGAAACACGAGTCAGGGCATGGCGTTCCAGTGTCCAGTTATTCTCTGACTGCCAGTTTCTCTCTAATTGAAGGCACATAACAGTGGCGGGAGGCGAGGGTGGGAGCCAAGGGTTCAAAAACTATTTATTGAGTACTGTGCTCGCTTCCTGTGTGATCGGTTCAGTTGTGCTCCAGGCCTCAGTCTCATGTAATATGCTTTTGTAACAAACCTGCACATAGAGCCTTGGAATCTAAAATAAAAGTTGAAAAAATAAAAATAAAATTAGAACAGTTCTGTGCTTTAAAAACTCTAGCTAGATAGATAGATTATAGATATGATAGATACAGATGCACACAGTCTCAGGACCCTGTGCATACTCACCAGCCTTTCCTTCCCTTACTCCACTCCAGCCCTGCTGGCCTCTTTGATGTACCTTTTATATGCCAGGTAAGCTCCTGCCGCAGAGCTTTTACCCTTGTCATTGCTTCTT